GAAGGTAAGTTTACAGTTGGGACACGGTGCATTGTGTAGCAAAGATTCAAAAGATTTATTTAAAAAAAGGAAAAGTACACCTCCAAGAACAGGGAGGCAGGCTGATCCAAGGGACAAAAAGCGGCATTTTTTTTGTCTCCCCTTTCTCTTGTACCCTTATTTAGAGGTGGTCTTTTGATTGACATTTCCTGTCTCTGGAGTGTTTAGGCATGTTTGGCCCCTTTGCACATGTCCTTACCCAAAGTGTACACAGAAAAACCCATGGGAGCCCTAAACCACAGTGTTAATTATAATACAATGAACAGTGTGTCTGTCCAGTTAAGTCCTTTGTGCTACTGCGCAGTCGTGGCTGTCGGGTTCATTTAGAAGTGAAGTCCCTTTATGCTGGGGGTAGGCATAATGTCATCTGGATCATCCCCTCCCTCTCTCCGCCTATCTACCCAGTGCCTCCACTTATCTAACTACCTAACAATTGGGGTAAAATAAGTGGGGAAAAGATTACTTTAAAACTCTTTATTAGAATGAATTTGAATCTACACAAACACAGACAAAGTAATTAATTCCCTGTGTATGTACTACACTGCCCCAAACTATCACATCATGGCCATCTGTAACTGAGCAGGACCCTATGGGGCCTTCCCAGGGCAGACCCTTCCCCTGAAAGCCCCCAGGCCCACTGGAGCCTAAGGATTGATAATGTTAACCCCCGTGACACCGCCCTGTTACCTCGCCATCAGCCAGTCAGAACTGTGCACGAGCAGATCATATACCCTGGGACCCCCACCCCACCTGGCCTTAAAAGATGCTTTGCTGAAACCCTCCTGGGAGTTTCAGAGCAGGAGCCACCCATCCTCCTTGTATTAAATGCTGCACTTTCCTTCACCACAACCCGGGGTCAGATCCTGTCCTGTCCACACCCTGCCTACTCTCACCACCTCCCCCCCTTATTATATTGAAAATCCCAGGCATCATACCACTGTTTCCTGTATACATATTTCACTATGTATCTCCAAGTGATAGTTTTTTTTTTAAATTGTGGTAAGAACACTGTTGATTGAAAAAAAAAAGCACAACCTAAAAGTTGAGAATTATGTTTTTTTTGGCAGACAAAACTGAGGACTTAAGCCCAGAAGACAGCCTCTCAGAAAGCTCTGAGGGACAGCTCCCAAGAGATAAGGGAGGAGCCAGGGTATTTAGGGAGTTTTGCAACAAAAACCAGGTAGTTGGAACATCAAGAGATTACTGTTAATTAAAAAAGACCGGATCTCTGAAGTTAATTACTTTAGCTCTTTTCTATATATGGGAAGATGCAAGAGTCCGGGCTCACCGAAATCATTCCTTTGATGCCCATCTTAACTCTCTAGGGCCAGCATCCTGCCTTTTTCCATCCTGACCCCCTCAGAGCGGGTGGCTCCAGTGGCTGAAGGCTTGCTGGCTGCAGCGTCCTTTGTTGACTGATACGGCAGGTGACATTTTTCATCCACAATGCTAAACATGAGATGTACAGATTTTTAAGAGCGCAATACAGTATTGTTAATGGTACAGTGTTGCACTGCAGACCTCTAGATCTTAATCATCTTGCATAACTGAAACTTTATACTCATTGAACAGCACCTCCCCATTTCCCCCTCCCCTCAGCCACTAGCAACCACCGTTCTCTCTGCTTCTGTGAGTTTGACTGCTTTCAATGCTGCATGGAAGTGGAACTGTGCAGTATTTGTTTTCCTGTGACTGGCTTATTTCACTCAGCATCATGTCCTCCAGGTTCATCTGTGTTGTGGCATATGACAGGATTTTCTTCTTTTTAAGGCTGAATACTGTATTCCGTTGTAGTGTATACCACATTTTCTCTATGCATTTGTTGATGGAAACCTGTTCCACATGTAGGCTGTTGAATTATGCTGCGGTAAACATAGAAGTGCAGATCTCTCTTCAAGATCCTGATTTCAGTTCTTTTGGATTTAATACCAGAAAATGGGATCATTGGATCATATGGTGGTTATGTAAATGCCCTTTACACTATAATCACACTTAAAAAACCCTAAACAGAATGTATATTGGACCTGCATTGCTTCTCAGTGCTGAACAATACAGGCATACTTTGTTTTATTGCACTTGGCTGTACTGCACTGTGCAGATACTGCATTTTTTTTTTTAACAAATTGAAGGTTTGTGGCAACCCTGTGCTGTCAGATGTTGGTTAGCATCTTTTAGCAATAAAATATTTTTAAATTAAGATACGTACATTTTTTTAGACATAATTCTATTGCACACTTAATAGTATAGTGTAAGCATAAACACTAGGAATCCAAAAAACTGAATTAACTCGCTTTTTTTGATACTCACTTTATTGTGGTAGTCTGGAACTGAATCCCTGGTATCTCTGAGGTATGCCTGTTCCGTTGCCTGGATATACCACATTTTATTTATGCATTCATCAGTTGATGGACATTTGGCTACTGTGACTAGTACTGTTGTGAACATTTGTGACAGGTTTTGTGTGAACGTACTATTTCTCCTGGATTTATACTCAGGAGCAGAATTGCTGGTGATTTGCTAACTCAATGTTGAACCTTTTGAGAAACCATCAAACTGTTTCCCGAGGTGGCTGTACCATTTTACATTCTCATCAGCAATGCATGAGGGTTACAATTTCTCTGCATCCTGACCAACACTTGTTACTGCTCGTCTTTCCATTAAAGCCACCCCAGTAGGTAGGAAGTCCTACTTCATCGCAGTTTTGGTTGTATTTCCCTAATGACTAATGGTGTTGAGCATCTTTTCATGTGCTCATTGGCTGTTTGTGTATCTTCTTTTGAGACATGTCTATTCAAATTCTCTTATGATTAAAACTTTTTTTATTATTGAATTCTAAGAGCTTTGTATATTCTTGATACAAGTCTTTATCAGTATACAAGTATTTGTATGATTTGCAAATAAATGTTTTCTCCCATTTTGTAGGTTGTGTTTTTTTTTTCTTTTTGAAGGTAACATTGGT